CTCGTGCGCCATGCACTGAATTTGCAATGGAAATCCTTGACCCCCTCGACTGCGTGTACCCGTGAACAAGGACAGTCAGTCTTCGAGTGAATTTTTTAGTTCCACAGGACAAGTCTTCCACAAGACCTCGAGCTAGGACAAGAGGAACAGAGGATAATGCTCCCGACGCTGATCAACCATTTTTCAGCTGTGCTACGCATTCCATTCTGTGAAAGCTGACCGGAGAACAAGTCAGCGCTTTTGGAGTCTCAGGGTATTCCCAAGTAGAAGGCTTCGGGTGAAGGAAGGCTTGGAAAGGGTTCGGGTGTTGAAGAGGAAGAAGTCAACAAATAAAAGGATAGAAGCGATTACTAACGAACCATTTTCACTGTAAAGAGTGTCTGATGGAACAAACACGGGACACTTGGTACAGAAAATTAGCAATAGTAATGCTTATACTGCAGTGCCTCTCAAGTTTGCGTGGAAATTTTATTGGACGACCTAAAGTTTCGACATGGTCGTCCTTCTTCAGAGGCCTAAACGCGTTTTGAGGTTAGGAAGTGAACACTACCTCACAAAGCGCTTAAGCCAGCCCTAAGGCAGCGTTCAGACTTCACAGCGTTTCGGTCGCGCGTTCGACGCGATCGATGCAGTCGAAAGCATGCGCATCGATCGCGCCGAACGCGCGACCGAAACGCTGCCGTCGCGAAGTCTGAACGCTACCTAACAGTTCCGATGGCGTGTTCGGAATTCAACGAGAAACCCCCACACAACACGAAGAGTGCACTCACCAAGCACTTCCATCCAAAAACCTCCGAGAGACACAGCAGTATAAGCAGAATAAACAACGAGGTTACAACAAGAGAGAACTTGGAGAGTAGTAGTAATCTTAGTATAGGAAATTCTTAGTACTAGAAAACCGGCGTTTTTCAGCAGCGCCAGAAAACCCATCGCGATGAGTGTACGGTTCGAGGAATAAGTTCAGTGTCAGTAAGCAGACTGGGTGGGGGATTAATGTCAGTGTCATTGGTGGAAGGGCTGCGGGAGGAGGTTTGGTCACACCCCATTCAGCACTTCTACCAGTGCGGTGGCAGCGCGACCGTCCCACCATCGTGTTCATTGCCTTCCTAGGAAAGTGTTGAAAAACCATCTGTTGCCTAGGAAAATCAGGCTTGCAGTTTTCCACTTGAGGAGATTTTTGCTTTTCGCTTCTGTTCCATCAGCACGCGTGAGTCATCAACTTAGGAGACTGCGAAGCTCTGTGAAGCCATTTAGTAGTGATGTATTAGTCAAAGTCGTAGGCTACTCGCCTACTCTTGGGAAGTAGCGAAAATGTAAAATATGCCCCAACAAGTCCAAAATCTGTGAGGGCCAGTCGTGTGCCCGGGTATGAAGCAGTTTATCCCAGCTACGACAAAATGAGATGTACCTGGCGAATCTGTGGAAACAGGGCCGATATGATGGGACAAATCGGGCAATTAACTCGGCGTGAATATAGGGAGGGTCGTGGCTTGCCAGTTGCAAACAGGTTGCAATATTGCGGTCGACTACCGCAGTAATCCGGATATTGTTAAACAGGACAGCTGACCCTCGTACGAACTTCAATCCAGGAAATTTTTGCAGACACAGCATGACAAGTTTCTGCAAAGTCTTCTGGACCAACTGACAGTAGTCATTACAGAGTGGGAAGTAGAAAAAAGAAACAATGTAGAAAAGTTGTTACAGGATACGTTACTTGGTGGCAGAGGGGTATGTTGACAAGAGGATCTAATTCGGCCGCGCCGCTGCCGTCGCGTGCGCGCGTTTAGTCTAGCAAGGATGACGGTTCAAGGTAGTAGAATAGCGACAAATTGCAATTAAGCGGACCGAAAGACCAGTAATGACGTCTACGATAGAACGGAGGTATACATGACGTTCGATGCTTCCATTTCGAACGCTTTAACGAAGCTTAATGAAAACGCCGCGCCCATTCGCCGCGCGTGGCGCTGCGGGCGACATTTACGATCCTCTTTTTACCGTCTTCCGTTGGGAGTATGTTATAGGTGCAATCAATACCTATGAAGACGAGGGAATAGTTGACTCAATTAATGTGTCGTCATCCCAATAGGGTACCTGAAAATTGTACTCTGCGGGTATATACGGTTACGTGAAGCGGAAATACATTCCTGGACAATAGGATTAGCCGGATCTCTCGTGGAAACACATCGGGCAGATACACTTGCAGTCATGTGTGAACTCAAAACCGCCTTGGAAAGCCCGAAGCCGCTGAGAGAAGATTCTCGAACGGTGACGGAAATAACGAAATGGCCATAATCAACTGTTTACATAGCCCGTGACTAGCCCAATATTCCAGTTTTTCACTGGTACAAAGACCATAGGGGTTATCCAGCACCCTGACCACGAATATGACAGCGGATTTGCGCGTCAGCGCCATTTGGCTCCATCACCTTTTTCACCGAAATCGATAAAAAAGCTACTTGATGTCCTGATTACGAATACGACATGCGTCAGCTGGCGACGTTGGCACCACGACTTCGACCTTCGATTTCAGCCACTATTTTGGATTTGAGTTGGGCGAGGGGGTAGGGCAATGCACGTTGTGACATTCATTTTCCGGCCGCCCGCTCTGCTAAGGCTGAAAACAGAAGGTGGAGTGATTGATTTCCTCCTTCTCAGCCTCAGCAAAGCGCAGACGACTGAAGTGTCATACGGTAGCACTTGAGCCAAGTATGGTTGCAATATCCGCGATGAAAACGTTCTGACCCTAGTATACAAACTTATCTGAATTTTGGTGAACAAGGTGCTGGCGCTAGGCGTGCACTTTCACTTTCGGCGCAATGGCGCTGCGCGAGGAAGAGATGACATAATTGTAATTATAGAACAGCGAAAAACTTCAGCAAGAAAACATTTCGAGTTTTTGGGGCAGTACTAAATAGTTGATTTGTGCCCACAAAACTGTTGATAAAGAGAAAATTTTTCTAAAGATCACAGGGATGCTAATATGATCAATAGACTCAAAGTATCAATGCAAAGCTGTAGCGCCAATGCGTTAGCTCTGAGAATGAAAATTGGTGAATTTTTCCATCAAAAAAGCTGTCACCGACAACGATTGTGCGATGAAAAAGTCGCGCGAAATTCAATCTATTATTTACGCGGTTTCTTACTTTCGCTCAACACGAAGACACGAATGGGTCACATCAGCAGCACGAAAATGCGTGATACATTAACCTTCCGCGAATTTACCGAGCTTTTTATGCTAATTGGATGTAATATTCGGCGCAGTTCGGCTCGGAGGGGGCATTTCACACTTCCTCTAGGCCATTTTTTAGTCCGTTTAACAACAGGTCACTTTTTGGTCAGACCTGTAACTCATGTGAAGCTGTGGAAAGGTATGTGCAGGGGTTACAGGAAATCACAGCCTTTACAGAATGGCCTGAACAAGCTTAACTGAATTTCCACTCGATGCCCCTCATCAGCGACTGATAGCGCGGAAAAGGCACAATCGAAGGGAGGGATGATCACAGCGCTAGTGAATTCAGCAGCTAGTCGTTTGATGTAACGAATAGTATATATGACGAGTGAAAGAAGTGTGGCATTTGCAAAGCAAAAAAAAAACAAATAAATGCCGACTGTGACGTGTCATTTCCCCGAGATGGCATCATTTAAACGGAATCACTTTACAGTAACGATATTTGCTTCGATCGACACGCAAAGCTAGAGGAGGAGCCAAAGGTGGAGCGATAAGACGAAAGAACGTATGATGTTCAATGCAAGCTTTCCATAGCTGCTTGCAAGCCGGCGATGATATCACGTGAAACGAGAGTACGGTATCAGGCTCCTGTACGGTAACACATCAATATGTGAGAACAGAAAAGATGAATTTCCATAGAAAACCCACATTCGGTTCGCCTAGCTTGACATGAACATAGAAATTCTTTTTCTTAAAGCTGATCTTCATAATGGTCGCCCATGCAAACTCGTTGATCTTCGCACCTTCGTGGAACACCAACATACCGTATGAGTTCACGCCGATCCCAATGGGGAGATTTTTCTCCCATGCCTGGAAGTGGCATACTAATTAGAAAAAGTAGATTTTTAAAGTAGTTTGAGAGTGGATAGACAAAGAAATTGGAATTTTAGAATCTAAGGATCTCAGAGGGTGGTGCAGTTTCGACGACGGATGGGGAGGGGGGGCATTTTTTCGCCAGTTACTGTAACTTTTCAACGACGTGTGCACTCGTTTGAAGAGCCTTTTTTGAGTTGACAGGATTTACCATGGCAGCTCTACGGGTTTCCTCCAGCTTCACAAGAGTTCACAGGCTTAACCAGAGTAGACAGGTAAACCGGAACTAGTGGCAAAATGCCACCTTCCCCCTGTGCTGAACTGCGCCTAAGCTGGTTTATAACCTTCAGGACTACTCAAGGATCGGCAGGCCGATAGACCTCCCCCCGCAGTAGTCGCCAGGTTTGATAAATGCAATCATTCTCTTCCCGGAAGTGTCGAATAAGCCTGTCGCTCTCGAAAAAATTTGCTCATCACCCGATTTACCCCAGAGCTTTGTTTCCAAAGGGGAAATGCGCAGAAAAAGTTCTCCCGAACCCATTCACTTCACATGTAGAGATTGAAGGCTTGCTTCTCCTTGCTACGGCTCCGTCCAAAGGATAGCGAGCACGGTTGAAAGAATCATGTTCAGGATTATCATATGGGCGGAGCCGAGCTATGCCCCAGAATCAACCGTTGATGTCGCCTAATTCTCAATACGGTTCAAAGAAGGAACGCGTCAAAGAGAAAAGCATCATTGTGGAACCGATGAGGTGGAGTGTGCCTTCGAGGCATCGTAATGCGATAATTCCTCTCCCCGTAAGGCAGGTCGTAGGCTGTGGGGGTTCCCCCAGCGAAATGAGAGAGGGAGTCTTACTCGGCCGCTAGAGGGAGGGCGGTCACACTCGTCCTTGTAAAAGATGGTCTCGGCTGTGGACTTATTACGGTTTTTCCCGCCTTGGTGCGCTATATGCCTGAAGGCAGTTTTTTGAGGAAAAGTGGAGGTATTTGCGAAGCAAAAACCTCCAGGAAATGGTAGGAAGTTGTACGAAGCTGGGAAAACGTTGGAATGTGGTAGGTAGGATGGAGGAATGGGAAAGGGGGGAGATGAATGAGAGCAGGAAATCTCAAACGGGGAAAAGTGGAGGGGGCGGTTGTACTTGTAAAAAGTTTTCCCAGCGGGTGCTCTGCTCTTTACCTGAATGAAACCTGCAGAGGAGTTAGGAGGTTTGTTACGAAAAAATGTTTGCTAGTGTGTCAGGCACCCAAAATTTAGAAGAAAAATAACAGGTTGGATGAAAAAAGATCATGAAGGGGAGCAAATGAATGAATAATAAAAAATTACAAAAAATTCGCAGAAGCGAATAAATTTGTGCTCAACCACTCCTCTCGCGCTAGAGATCACACACCTACATGTCGAGCTTTTTGGCATTGATTCCAACACAAGATTGCAACTCGGCTCACAGCAGGGCTCTGGCCACTGAAAAACATTTTTGATCACACAGACGTTTTTGCCAATCGTACCACATTTTTTTATATTTATGGAAACCTGAGCTCACCGATGCATCGCGTGAAGTTCAGCGACTCTCTTCGGAAAGTCCATGGATTGGCTTGGGGCAAATCGATATTGGTTGAGGTATCCTTCAGGGTGGTCTTCTGGTGAATAATCGCCCAGCTCTGCTGAAATGTAACGAATACCGACGGCGTTTCACACAATTTGAATATTATCGATTTGGAAAGCGAGTGGAAAGCGAAAAATTGGTTGTAGTTTAGGCACAGTTCGGCTTGGGGGGGGACCAAACAGTACTCAGCTAAGCGTGTACAGGCCACCTTGTGAAGACCTGTAAAATAGCTATGGTATATTGAACTATCCCTGAGCCTCATGTGTACTGAAATCAGACCACGCTCTACGTTGGAGAGGGGGGGGGCGTATTTGGTCTGATAAATTTTGATAGTTGATTTTCTTGTTTCACGGATTCACGGATTCTGCATATGAGTGCTATTAGGGGGAGTGGTCGTAGTTGCCTTTGAGAAAATTTGCGGCGTGAGGAAATAATTTTTT